CGACATCCCGCCTGCCCGCCTGCCCGCCCGCCGTGCCCTTCTCAAGGTTGGCGGAAGTGGGGAGGCGAGAAGCGGCCTTGGCCCGAGGGTACTCGCGGACCAGACGGATCAGACGTCGCGGGAGTCGGGCCGGCATCCCCTGGGAGGTGTTCCTCCCCACTGGTCTCCCGGCCCATCCCTGGGGCCACTCCCCTGCCCCACCCCATTCCCTGGGCGCAGCTGGGGGGCGGAGCTGCCTCGGTGTCTGTGCGACCTGGTTCGGTGCCCAGTGTGCCCCCTTCTGACCTGCGGCCTCCAGAACAAGCCTGGTCCCCAGGCGTGGAGAGAGGCCTCCGCTGGCAGAGCACGCCTGGCGGGGCATGGCCAGGGCAGGCCCCAGGTGGCCAGGAGGGACAGGTAGAGCTAGAGTGGACTCGGGAATAGAGCCATCTGGAGAAATGTCAGCGAGGAGTTGAAGCCTCCCGACTGCAAGGGCAGAGCCCTGGGGACAGTGTGGCCCTAACTAGAGTGCCCCTCGGGTCCAGGTCTCCTCTCTCCCGCAGGCGCCCGGCTCCCAGCCTGATGCCCCTGGCCACCAGAAGAAAGGTAATAGTAGCAGCTTCGCACTGGCCAGCACTAAGGTGCGCTGTGTGCTCATCGTCTTGGTTAATCGCTGTTCTGTAAGGTGCAAACTCTTCCACCCATTTCACAGAAGTGGAAATTGAGGAAGTGGGGGTCCTGGGTTCTGGGTGAACCGGTTGGGAGGGCAGAAGTTGGGGCAGTGGAGGGAGGCTGTGACACGGGAACTAGGGAGCAGCTGCAGGAAGCCCAGTGGGGACGTAACCCTGATGCATCTGTCCCCAGTGGTGTCATGGATAGATGTGTACGCTCGTGCCACCTGCCAGCCGCGGGAGGTGGTGGTGCCCCTAACTTTGGAGCTCATGGGCACTGTGGCCAAACAACTGGTACCCAGCTGTGTGACTGTGCAGCGCTGTGGCGGCTGCTGCCCTGACGATGGCCTGGAATGCGTGCCCACTGGGCAGCACCAAGTCCGAATGCAGGTACTGGGGCAGGTGGGGTGTGCCTGGCTGGGGGTGGATGCTGGTGCTCGAGGCTGACGGGATGGCAGCCAGAGCCCTGGCAGGTGGGCAAGCCGTTCTCCCTCCTGCCCATGGAGTGTCCTCTTCTTCTCTTCCTCTATCTTTGTCTCTCTCTCTCTCCCTGTTCTCCCGAACACAGATCCTCATGATCCGGTATCCGAGCAGTCAGCTGGGGGAAATGTCCCTGGAAGAACACAGCCAGTGTGAATGCAGGTGCCAGCCAGGCCCACTTCTGAGCTTGCAGAGACCAGGCGTGGGGGGCGTGGGCGTGGTGGTACCCCGCCACGGGGACCAGGTTTCTGAGTGGAGCCGGGCATGCCTGGGGTCTGGGCAAGAGAGTAGGATGCTTGGCTTTCCTGATCCTCCTCCTCCTTGTTTCTGTCGGTCTCTCTTTCAGACCAAAAAAAAGGGAGAGTGCTGTGAAGCCAGACAGGTGAGTCTCTTGGGCTCCTGTTGAGGTGGGGTTGGAACCCAGGCCCAGTGCCCAGGATACAACGTGTGGGTGGGGCAAGGGCTGTGCAAGTGTGTCAGGAAGCTGTGGCCCACTCCCCTCTTTTTCCTCCCACTTGTGTCCCCCGCCCCCCTTTTCCTCTGCTCCCCAGTGTGTGTGCTCTGACCCAACCCCAGCTCCCTCCAGGGAAGACTCTTCCCGCCCCAGACATGTTGCTTCTCCTCCTAGGGCTGACACTCCCCACCACCATCCCCAGCCCCGCTCTGTTCCGGGCTGGGGCCCTGCCCCCGGAGCACACTCCCAAGCTGACATCACCCATCCCACTCCAGCCCCAGGCCCCTCTGCCCACGCTGTACCCAGCGCCACCAGCGCCCTGACCCCAGGACCTGCCGCTGCCGCTGCCGACGCCGCAGCTTCTTCCGTTGCCAAGGGCGGGGCTTAGAGCTCAACCCAGACACCTGCAGGTGAGGAGTTGTGGGGTGGCAGTTGTTTGGGAAGCCATCAAGGCCCTGCCCTGGAGCAGGTCCAGGGTGAGCCTGCCAGTGGGGTAAGAGCCAGGGAAGGGGAAGCTGTTGAATGGGTTGAACAAATATTTACCAAGTGTCTGCTGGCACTGGGATCAGCATAAACAAGCTCACATTCCAGGGCAGAAGCCCGGCACAAGGACACTGATGCCGGCAGAGGCCAGCAAGGCCTGTGGTCAGGCGCACCTGGCATCGTCTTTTGAGAGGTCAGAGATGTCCTGGAGGAGGTGCCGTCTGCCTGAAGTACACCTCAGACAGCTTTCCAGTTTGGGCGCTCTGGGCCTTCCCAGAAGCCACTCTGGTAGACATCTGTCCCACTTCATGGGCTCTGAGAGGCCAGGGGACATAGTGTAACCCTTGTTCACTCTCGTCGAGGGCTTCTCACGACCCATCCCTTGCAGAGTGAGGCCACGAGTGGGGTCACGTGGGCGAGGCCAGTTGGGGTGTCTTTGGAATGTTAGGAAAGAATGAGGTTCGCAGACGGTAACGGGATGAGTCCAGAGGAGCAGATGCTGAGCCGTGGCAGCATGAACAGAATCCCCTTCCTTTCCTCCTCAGGTGCCGGAAGCTGCGAAAGTGACACATTGCTTTTCAGACTCAGTGGGGCCACTTGCCTCACAGGCCACACTCCAGAGGGGGCCTAAAGGGCCTGGGCCTCTCCGAGGGCTTTCTGGCCATCTCTTGTCTCTGCAAGGCTGCCATCCAACATGGTGGGCAGAGTTGGATGAGACTTGGAGGCAGCAAGAGGGGTCGCGTACCAGCTTGGGAGAGAATGGGGTCCTGTTTCAGTGTTTAACCGCCCTGTGTAAGTGTGCGTCTTACAGCTGGCCCCTCCCTGCCCTTACTAAGAAGACCCTGATGCTCTGCAAATAATGGGAGTTGGGCTTTGGTATGAGAACTGTGACCCCCCGACCCTGATAAAAGAGATGGACAGAGCTATCCCTGCCTGTGTCACTGTTTGTCACTGTCCAGGCTGGCTGGTTCAAGCATGGATGTCTGTTACACTGCCTCCTAGGCCTAGAGCTTCTTACTCTATTCACTGTGCAGATGGAGTAAATGAGGCCCACGGTCCCACACCAAGTCACACTCAGAGCCCAGTCACGTATTCTTCACACTCATGTTGCTACTGCCAGTGCCTGCCCCCTGCTCTGGAGGGAGACGGCCTGTTATGGCCAGTGAATTTGAGGCGGGAAGCAGATCTGCTGAATGGCCTTGGGTGTCACCGCCCCTCTGTCCGAGCCTCAGCTTCCCACTTGTGCACATGGAGGACACATGATCACTGTGTTCCGGGCCCTTGGGCTGCAGGAAGGTTTGCGTATGTTTTGACATAACAGAAAAGAACACCCATCTCCCCTGCTGGGCAGCACTGTGTCTCCTGCTTTTTGCCCCCATGTAGCTTAACTCTAACGCTGTGCACCTGCCTTGTCCCCACCTCCCTGAATGGGAAGCACCAAAGGTCCGTGGCTGGTGGGCTTGGTTTGAGAGACGTCCCCCCGACCCCAATCCCCCGGTTTTCTCCACCTTCACCTCCCTTTCACCTTGGGTGCCCCTGCTTGGGACTCTCCTGACCTTTATCTGCCCCAGTCCAAGCTCACTGCCCAGCCTGCTGCCTACAGACTCCCCTGCTGCCTGGCGCTGAGTGGGGTGGTCCAAAGGCCAACTCGGTACAAATGGCTTTGCCCTGCTGAGGCAGGACCTTCAGGGAGAGGCCAATGCAAAGCACCCACCCTCGTGGTGTCAGGCTTTAGGGTGTGATAGCGATCTGGTTGGGCCCAAGGCAAAAGTGGGGTTAACCCAGAAGAGACAGTTCCTGAGTGATTAGTATCTTCATGTCATGATAGCCATGCCCTCGGTGAAAACGCCATAGCCCCATTGGGATGAGAGATGAGGGTTAGGGACCCAGGGCTACCATCTGCGTCCACTTGGCCTCACTGGACACGCACGATGCTTGGCACGCACCTCCTTGCTGAGTCCTCAATTCTGCGGTCAGCTCTGTGACTATCTTCCTTTTCATTTGATTAAATAGGCTGATTGACCTGGGGATCTGACCTCAAATCAGCTGTCTCCCTAACTCGGTAGGTTTAGCTGCCTGCTCGCAGCAGATTCGCTACTTAATGGAGATGTTTGCTGGGTACTGGGCGCCTGAAAGTAACAGCCACATCACTGCAGGCTGAGTCAGTGGTCAGTGGGCGACATGCAGAGGCAAGCCTGGACGCCGGGGTCGAGAAAGGAGAGAGCACCGGCTGTGGCCGCGCCTGGCGGTGGGCCCTGCAGGGTGGGTGACCCAGCCCGCGGCACAGGGACGCCAAACCCCGCTAGGCCAGGAACTTTGCTCAAGGTCAGAGTCGGTCAGAGACAGGCGGGCCCTGAGTTCAAACTCGCTCACTCTGAGGCCGAGTCTTTCCACAGCAACTAACTGGGAGCGGTGGGTCCCGAGGATCCCCCAGAGACGTCGCGGGCAAGGCTGGGGGCGACGCAAAATGGCGTCTCAAGACCCCCTCCAGGAACCGCGCCCCCTGACCTTAATCTCACCTCCACCGGAAGTGCCTGTGGTCCTTTCGGAAGTCACTTTCACCTAACCTTACGGACTACCGCTCCACAGGAAGTGACGAGAGTCACGTGGTGCTGGAGGGCGGGGCTAGGGCGATACCCTTCCCCGCGGGCGGGTGGCGGCGGGATTCGTGCGGCCCAATGAGGGCGGGCGGCGTGGCGGGCTGGTAGCTGCAATGACGCGCCTGCGCAGAGGCGGCGGCACGACGAGTTGACTCCGGGGGCGCGGCGAGGAGGTGAGCGGGGGCCACAGCCCGGGCTGAGGGAGCCGGGGTGTACGCGGGCAGGCTGGGTCAGGCCGGGGTCCCGAGTGTCAAGGAGGGCAGGGTACGAGGAACCTGGAGGCTGGTGCGGGAGCTGTCCGGGGATGCCGCAGGGGGAGGGCCCTCACGCCGCACGGGGCGGGGCCCCGGGAGTCGGGGCGGAACGTGGGACAGAAACGGGTGGGGCCTCTGAGCTGGTATCTGCGGGAGGCGGGACTCTGGGGCTGGGGGCGGGGCTAGGACTTGTGGGGGGCGGAGCCTGGACCTTGGAGGAGGAGCTGGAACAGGCGGAAGGCGGAGCTTCGGGTTTGGAGACGAAGGGGGACGAGGCCCTGGCGCTGGGGGCGGGGCTTCAGCCGGTGAGTGGCGTGGGTACAGTTCAGGAAAAGGGATCTAGTTCTGTCGAGGGTGGGGCTCCAGGGCTGGGGGCGGGACCACGCCCTCTAAAGGGTGGGGCCAAAGAGCCAAGCGCAGGGGTAGGCCCAGGTAATGGCCCGGGGCGTCCACGCGGGGGCGGTCTCCGTGGTGGCCGGGCCTGGGAGCGTGGTAGGCCGAGAACGCCCCCAGGAGAGGTGGTGTGGGTTGAGCGGGCTCGACGGTCACCCGACACGGGGCCAGTCTGGGTGCCCCGCAGACCCCCGAGAGCTCAGAGTTGGGGAGGCGCCCCGGGCGGAGGCACAGGGTGGGCCTGGGGGATCTCC